AATCATCTAACCTAACTCTTCACAATGACAAGATTAAACCTAGCCCTAGCTAGCCAAACTCTCAATTAACCTAGCTTGAGTATGTCAACCCTCAATTACCTTGCCGGATTATGCTATTAATCTCACAAGTTTGAAATACAACTAACCCAAAATAAATTAAGAACAAAAGAATAACCTTATAGCCCTCAGTCAAATCGTTCTCCAAATTAATGTAGATGAAAATTCATGAAGAAGCGACGTTCCTTCTCTCTCAATGAATCTCCAATGAAAACCGCACCAAGAAGAAGTTAAACGAGGCCCAAGGGATTAGATTCTCAATAAAATCAATGATGGTTGACTATAGTCCATCAATTGTGCAAATTCTAGTTTTTAGATTTCTCAAATTAATTACTATAGTCCATTGATGGTTCGATAACTAGTTTCTATATACTCTGATTCTTTTTTGTAGTCCATCGATGACTTGCTTGACGATCGATGGTGCTTCTTGACCATCAATAGTTCAAAGGCTGAAATTAACGTTCGTGTTGGTTTTTACATTATTTTGAGTCATAAGTTATTCGTATATGTGTAAACCTAAAATATATCATCTCACAAATATATCAATAGTAAATGAGAGTTTGTTATTAATCGAACAATTAATTTTGCATAAACAACATTCTAACAACATATAGTAAATCATACTCGCTTTAAAAGCACAAGTTCGGGAAAATCTTTTAGTAGACAAGGATACCCTTGAAATTTAAATACTAATCCATTAAGTAACACGAGTTTGGGAAAATCTTTTAGTAAACAAAAATACCCTTGAAATTTAAATACAAATCCATTAAGTAAGATTAAGTTGATAAATTGATGAATTCTTATTGGATATATAGTATGAAGATAAGGATATAGTTTAAATTAAAATGTAAACCTGAATGAAAGAGCAGATTAGGTAAATTAAATGATTTATTAAATACCAAATTTACCCCCCTCGCTCTTATATGTGATCAATGATCAAACTGCAAATAATTATTCACGTGCTGCATGATTAATAATGTCAAACTGAGAACAAGTATTCATATGATATATGATTAATAATTACACACAACGTGGCGATCTCTCACTAACTAAAATTTAAATAGTTCACGGTATGCTTAGGTTAATTAGACAATTTATTAAATATCAAATTTACCCCCTCGCTCTTATATGTGATCAATGATCAAACTGTAAACAATTATTCACAGACTACATAATTTAATAATGCTAATCTGCAAATAATTATTCACATGTTATATGATTAATAATTACACACAAAGTGACTATCTCTCACTAACTAAAATTAAAGTAGTTCAAAGTACTGCATAGTTAGTTTCAAATTTTAATTATACTATTATTATTTAAATAGAACTCTATTTATCATTGTTATCCTCTTACATGCAACATCATATATTAATATATATAAGCCAAAAAATTATAATAATTTCTATAGTACTTTTATCTCCTTCTACAAGCATGTACCTTTCTTATTAGATTAGATTAGATTATTTTAAAGCAATTAATTATATTGTATATTTGATCTTATTTCAAATCAAAAAATTATAATAATTTTTACAGTACTTTTATCTCCTTGAACAAGTATGTGTCGTTGTTATTTTCTTCTTATTAGAATAGATTAGATTGTTTAAGAATTATGAATTATAAAATTGCAACAACTTCCATAGTACTTTTATATATTTTCTTCTTGTTAAATTAGATTATATTATTTTAAAGTAATTAATTATATTGTATGTTTGATTTTTTTAGATCACAAAGTTTAATTATTATATTATTATTTAAATAGATATTGTTTGTATAAAAGTTAAAGAGAATATTACATGTATCTTTGATCTTAATACCAATTATAATACTTATATATGGGTTTTTGTTAAAATAAATTTCATGTATGGGATTAACTTATATGATCCTACTTTAATCAGATTAGATAATTTGATATTTTTTATTTACATCCAAACTCTTCCACAAAACTAAGAGATTTTCAAAATTAATCATGTGGGTTGATTGCATTAAAAAATTATGTTAGAGAGCACATACAGCTTGCTTTATAATTTAAGGTTGTCAACACGTTTTGTCTCTTATACATATCAATTATGAGTAATAATATAATTTAATTGATCCAAGTACATCCTAATATATTTATGGACTCTTATATTATCTTTTTCTCTTTATCATGTACAAACCTAGCGATTCTTATTCAATTCCTTCTTTTTTTTCTTTTTTTTTTGTCTCTTGATATTGTCTTTTGTTCTTTATTATGAACAAACTCAATTCATGGATTAGGGTTATGATTTTTGAGGGGGGGGGGGGGGGGAAGTTGATATTGTTTTTTGTTCTTTATTATGTACAAACTCATTTTATGGATTAGGGTTATGGTTTTTGAGGGGGGAGCAGAAGACAAATGAGTTAATTTTGGTGTTGGACTTTATTATTTGAAGAGATTAATTTTAATAAATTCAACTCTAACTTGATATCACAATTGATGTAGATGATAAATGCGCTACTCTAGAATCCCCCAATAATAAGATAAAGATAGAGAAAGATTGATCTCGGCTCAAATAAAATATAAACTAAAAAGAATAAATGATAATATTTTTTGAACATTTTATACTATAACTTAATTTTTGAGTAAAATTAGAAATTTTTAGAAGGAGTTTTTATGCAAAATTGTAGTATTTTTATATGCTTATGTAATTGCTTTTATTACATAAAATTATACTATAGTTACCATTAATCTTTAGTTTTTGTCTTTTTTTTATTTTAAGCCTATCAAATAATGTAGGCTGAGATCTCATATATATTATGTTTATGATACTTCTTTTTTTTGTTTGCTTTTGAGATTGTTTATTATAAAATATGAGCTTATAATGTTGAAAAGTACAGTGTAATTCTATTTTCAATGTAATAAGATATACTCTTTTTTATTGCTAGAACTATAGTTCATAATGATATTGTTATTCATCATTGACTCCATACTATAATTTGGTATTAGTAGAGTTTAGAATATGACATGTAGTATCGATTTAACTTATTTTATTTTACTATTCTGCTTAAAGATATTATTATGTCAGCTGATATCTTTTTCTGCAAAAATCAATTACGATATCCCAGTTAAGTATATTGATCACAGTTTAACACAAAAATCCATAACATTAAATTTTTATAATGTTTAAATATAAATTATAGTAAATCTAATAATTAAAATGAATTTGACTTATTTATAGTAATAAAATAAAAAATAAATTATTTTGATATTTAACAACGTGCATTACACGTGCATAAAAACTAGTAACACTAAACCCGTGAACTTTCAATGTTTTGCATACCTTTCAAAATCACACTAAACTCCTCAAAAACTTTCAATAAACATGCTAAACCTCAATAACTTTCAAAATCACAATAAACTCCCAATAAAATTTGCAAAAAATCTTTAAAGCTATGTTACATCTGGCGTGCACAATCTACATGACTTAAAAAGACCAAAATACCCCTTAAATTATGTATAAACTCCTTTACTACCTTTTTTTATTTACTTTCCTCTTGCTCATGGTCAATTTGGGATTCTGAACTCCAATTGTTTTTTCGTTTTTCCTTTTTTTGCTAAAATTATCCTTCAAAATATATTTTTATGTTGTTTTTTGTTCTAATTTATGGAGATTATCTGTAAAACATGGAAACTTATTAGAGTTTTTTACAATTTTGAAGTTATATTAATGTGTTTTTGAAATTTATTGAGGGTTTACTGCAATTTTTGAAAGTTCTTGGGGGTTTAGCGTGATTTTGGAAGTTATTGAGAATTGACTACAAAACACTCAAATTTCATCAGGTTTAGTTTAATTTATCCTTAAAAATTTTCGGCTGACTATAAATTTCTTAAAGGAAAAGGAAAGTATTTGATCACTTTTAGTCTATTTAGAAGAATTGACTTTTTATTGAATTTCAAAGTTTGTATTAATGATATTTACAGAAGATGAAAGTTAAGACTACACTAGAGAGCGTGCGACAGTTGACCAATTGACATAGGGTTTAAAATGGTAAAATTACACTAAATCCCAATAAACTTTCAACAGTTTGCAGTAAACATCTAAGAACTTCCAAAATCAAATTAAATCCCAGATAACTTTTGCATAAAATCCTTAATATCTTTTGGGTAAATTATACAAATTCCCTAGTAAGTATAAAAATGTCTTTTTATGTTGTTTACTGGTTCTAATTTATGAGGGTTATCTGTAAAATGCAGAAACTTATTGAAGGTTTTCTGCAACATAGAAAAATTACTGAGGAATTAGTGCAATTTTGAAAGTTCACATGGGTTTACTACAAAATACTGAAAATTCATGGAGATTTAGTGTAATTTACCCAATTATCATATTCAAAGTTACAAACCACTTACTATATAAGCTAAGCACTCCTATGAGGAGCCACACTCAGAACTCGTGCCATACTTCTTTCTGTATGACTCCCAGAGAGCAAAACTGGCTACCGTCCAATCCCTCTCCCAAACTCAGTATGGCTGCTGCTTCTTTACTGGTTAAATCAAACTACACGTAGAAATACAGCAAAAACTATATTAATCATGTAATTAGCCAATACCGCACTAAATAGAACATAAATCTTATCTAAACACTTGTTAACAAATTCTATCATGACACTTATCATACTAACGGGTTATTCTTAGCCATTCAAGAAAAGTGAAAAATCTCCAAGTCAACGTCTAGCCTCGTGACTTGTTAAGAACAACTTGCTCATATCACTAAAAAAATTTGTAAATTATGATATATGGTTTGTCTCTACATAATATATTTTTGTGTTGCACAAATAGAGCGCGATACATACCAAAAGTATGGTTTTTTTTTGTCAATGAAAAATTTTATTCATTCACCAAATGTAAGAGTTATATACACAGCAAGATACTCAGTCTTAATAACTAAGATTACTAGAAAAAATATTCAAAGAAAACACAATCCTCATAACATCAAGAGATAATCATCTCTATTCTTCAGTAAGAGACTACTGAAGATAATAGTTGCTATGTCAATTTTTTTTGCTCTCTCCAGTTGTTCTTCTCTTCTAATTTTCTGTTGGAAGAGTCTTGAGTTTCTCTCCCTCCAAATATTGTATATCGCCGCATTCAGAGCTAGTCTTTTGAGTTTTTGCTTTGCACTTTTACCCCTCAATCGAGTATTAAACCAGTTCTGAAGCTGCTGCCAGACTGAAGATCTCCATTCAAACTTCAACCATTCCATGATGTGGTTCCAAACATTGCATGAAAATATGCACTCAAAGAATAAGTGATCTCTAGACTCCAAACAAGCACCTACATACAGGCTTCAGACATTTACAGTGATAATACCCCTTTTCATGAGTCTATCCTGTGTTAACAATTTGTTCTGAATTGCTAACCAGTGAATGAAAGAATGCTTAGGGACATTTCAATCCTCCCAAACTGTTTTGTACCGTGACACCTTGTTTCCTGCAGGGGAGAGTTTAACCTTGTCTTACAGCAAGAGTTAATGAGCATTTTCAAGTTATCAGAATCACCACAAAAAGCAAGAGATTTATCTCTCACTTTTAACAATTGCTTCCACATCCAAGAATCACTCTTTCTTGCATTAATTTGCCAGATATTTCCTTGTTTGAGATAATTCTCATGAACCCATTTGATCCAAAGAGATTCCTTGTTTACATGAATGTACCAGATGGATCTTAGAGCAGAAGGAATATTCCAAATAGTTGCTGAAAAGATACCCAAGCCACCTCTTTTCTTCCCCTGACAAACATTCACCCATGAAACTAATGGTGGTTTCCTGTGAATCTGGTCAGTTTTTCCCCATAGAAAATTTCTACACATCTCATAAATCTAATGGAGGACACTGACAGGGAGAATATAGGTTGATGTCCAATATATTTGAACTCCCAAAATGACACTTTTAATAATCTGGAGCTTGCCTGCATAAAAGAGACTTCTATGATTCATCTAGCTCTGAAATTGTCTAGAAATTTTAGAGAAGAGAGGGTTGCAATCCAAGAAGGATAACCTCTTTGTAATGAGGGGAACTCCCAGATATTTGATTGGCAAAGTTCCTTCAATGAAGCCCAAAAGACTTGCTATAGAGATTTTGACAGATTCCTCTAATCCCCCATAAAAACCAGAGCTTTTTTCAGGGTTTGCAACTGGTCCAGATATTGTACTAAATACCTTCACACATTGGTATAGTTTTTGCACTGAATAAATGTCACCTTTAGCAAATAACAAGAGGTCATCTGCAAATATAAGGTGAGTAATCTTAAGATTGCTACACCTTGGGTGAAATTTGAAGAGCTTGTCATTCTTTAAAGAATTCAAGCTCCTAGAAAGGTACTCCATTCCCAGTATAAAGAGGTAAGGAGAGAGGGGTGATCACCCTGTCTCAATCCATGTTTTCCTTTGAAATACCCATGGAGGGAGCCATTAAGAGAAATTGAGTACTTTGGGGAAGAAATACATGCTTTAATCCAGTTTATCATGACCACAGGAAAATTCAACCCTTCTAGCATGTCAGTAAGAAAATTCCAGCTAATAGTGTCAAAAGCCTTCTTAATATCAATATTAAGCATAACCCTTTGAGATATATGTTTCCTATTATAGATTTTAATAAGCTCATGTGCAAGGAAAATATTGCTAGAAATCTGCATGCCTTTGACAAAAGTACTTTGTGCTTCATCCACAAGATAGCCCATAACTAATTTAATTCTATTAGCAAGGATTTTAGAAATGAACTTGTAGAGACAATTACAGCAAGCAATTGGCCTAAAATCAGCAGGAGTATTTGGGCATTGTACCTTAGGAACCAAGGTAATGGAAGCAGCAAGCAATTGGCCTAAAATCAGCAGGAGTATTTGGGCATTGTACCTTAGGAACCAAGGTAATGGAAGTGGAATTTACAGTGCCCAGAAGCTTTCCGAGTATTTGGGCATTGTACCTTAGGAACCAAGGTAATGGAAGTGGAATTTACAGTGCCCAGAAGCTTTCCATTTTTGAAGAAATCTTCTATAGATTTTAAAACCTCTTCCCCAATGACAGGTCATGCAGTTTTGAAGAATAAAACACTATATCCATCTGGCCCTGGAGCTTTATTATTAGACATGGAGAAGATTGCCACTTTAATTTCCTCTTTAGAGACAGGTTTTGATAATTTCTTGATTTGAGACTCTAACAGGCAAGGTCTAGATTTGATGATGTAGAGAACTCTCACATTATTTTTGTGCCTGTTCCTTTTAGCAACAGCATGAAAATAACTAGTGCTCCTGTCACCATGCATACTCCAAGCTACTCTAGCTTTTTGTTGATAGAATGATACTTCACAGTCCATAAATTTGTTGTAAGAAGAAATATTTTCTTTTTCTTGACAGATGAGCATAGGGTCTAGGGGGTTGTTTTGAAGTTTCTTCTGAGTATCTTCCAAAACAAACTTTGCTCTTTGTACCTGCTCACTAATATTGTAAAAGTGTCTCTTGTTTAACACCTTCAAAGCTCCCTTTAGCATATTGAGTTTGGTGCATACAGAGTACATTGTGCATCCTTGAATGTCATATTTCCAGATTTCAGAGACAGTAGGTAGGGAATCTGCATGTTTGGTCCACATCTTGAAAATTTTAAAGGACTTTTTTCCTTGCAAACAATCCTCATAGATAGAAATCAGAGCTCGAGAATGATCTGAAAAGTAAGGTAACAAAAATTCTGCATGACTTGAATTAAAAACATTAATCCATTGATCATTCACTAAAACTCTGTCAAGTCTACTCCACACTCTGGTATCTGTCATTTGTTTATTATTCCAGGTATAAAAGCAACCTAGAGTTTTCATGTGATTAAGGTGGCAATCTGTAATGAAATTGTTGAAATCTCTAGTATCTGAGTTAGTAAGGACTGCTCCACCAAGCTTTTCATCATTACTAATCATTGCATTAAAATCACCACAGATAAGCCAATGAACACTACCAATTAGTTGCAGAATTTGGTTTAATTCTAACCATAACTCTTGTCTGGCCTCCATTTGATTAAACCCATACACTGATGAAATGACACAATCCAGCCTTCCATCAAATGATTTTATTGCACAAGTAATTTGCTGATCTGAGATTTTAACAATCTGAACATCAAAAATCCTTGGATCCCACAGAATAAGAATCCTAGTTTTTGAAGAACCTCTGACATTAGATAACCACTTCCAGCCATTTGCTATCCTCTTAGCAAACATTGATAGCTTTGATTCTTTTATTTTAGTTTCCAGGAGAGCTATGAAAGAGAGATGATATTGTAGCAAATATTTTTTTGACCAAACGCTATTTGGAGGATTTATTCAATCCCCTAATGTTCCAAAAAGACAAATTCATTTTGAATAGCCCCCTCTATCAATAGTAGAGGGATCAATATCCTTTTTCTCCAAGAGTGTGCAACTGACAGGAGTTAGAGATGCATTTTTTTAATTCTGATCCCTTGAACAAGAATCCAGGAATTCTCAACATTATTGCCAGAACCAAGAGTCTGTTTAGAAATACCAGTATCAGATTTTTGTACACATTCTTCATGCTCAACATGCACAGCTTGTAGTAACCCATTCTTACTACTCATTTGTTGAATATCAACTCCATTTCCCAGAACATGCACAGCTTGCATTAACCCATTCTTACTACTCATTTGTTGAATATCAACTCCATTTCCCAGAACATGCACAACATGAGCTTGCTGCACATATTTAGGCTCCTTCTCAACATGTACAGACTACTGGAAATCAGACTGAAAGGTCATATTACTGCTACTATGCTCATCCTTGTCTTTTCCATGCACAATATGCATAGGATTGTTTCCAGTGTGAAACACAAATTTACTGCAACCAATATTTGCAGAATCTTGCATCATTACTTCTTTTCCTTTTTCCAGAGTATTCCTTTGAGCAATAACATGCTCAACTTGTGTACCATTTCCATTGATTAGGCTCATGTCATTCAAGTCATTCCCAGTACTATTTTCATCTTTGATACCAGCCTTACTTTTAGGGATCCACCTTTGTATTCTGGTATGCCTCCTGCAAAAACTAGTCTCATATCCCACTTGTTTACAAAAATCACACCATCTAGGTTTTAGTTCATAATTCACCTTCTGAAAAAAAATTCCCATTTTTTCCCTGAATAGAGATTTGATCTGGAAGAGGAGATGGCATACTAACTTCAACAAGTACTCTGGCATATTCTAGCCTCTGTCTGCTTGCAGTTAGTTTATCAGTAGTAATAGGTTTGCCAATAAGACTTGCTATTTTGCTAATACATTTTGCATTCCACAGATTGAGTCTTAGCCCTAGTAACTGAATCCACATTGGATATATACAGTCATTTCTTTTTCCTATCTCTTCATCAATTGACCAGGGTTTAAAAAGAAGTGGCCTAGACCCAAAAAACCAAGGTCCACTTTCAAGAATAATCCTCATTTCTTCTTTACTTTTGAATTTGTACAAAAATAAACCTAGTTTAAGAATACAAATCTCAGGCAAAGCCAAATGAGACCAAACTTTTTGAACAAAAGATTCTATAGCTTTGTACTTAATATTTATTCCCAGGACTTGACTAATAAGAGCAGATTCCCAAATAGATGCTTCTTCATATCATTCATCTTCCCCAAATGTCACTGAATCTTTTTCATTTGGAGGCACAAAATTCAAATCTAGGACACAACTAAGCTTTCTATTGTCAGTAAAAAAAACTAACCCAGCTTTTCTTGGCATTGTTGCTAACAGGGACCGAATTATTCATAACTTTTGCAGACTCTAATGGCGAAAAATCTAGATTATCTCCATTATTTTTACCAACATTTGATTCATTTTTAATTAGAGAGCCATCTAAAGAGATGTCCTCAGGAAATATCTCAACAGTATCTAATGCAATAGTAATTTTATCTGAATTTAATATTGGATTTAAGAGATCAGAGTCAATGATTCTTGATGATTTTACACAAAAATGTTGAGATAGAGGAAACACCTCTGAATCATTGACATCAGCCTAAGAAACCCTATCAGATCTATGAGTTCTAGAGAGCAGAGACTTACAGAGCAATCGAGAATGAACCCCAGCCATCGGAGGAGAATCCTGAGGAAGAGAATTTACAAAGGAGTTTGAAGAGCTTAAAATTTCCACCATAGATTTCCTATAAGTGTCTAAAAATGCCTATAGGCGTCTGCACCCAGCTCGAGACAAAGAGAAGGCGATGAACGTCATCATCCAAGTCAAGAAGGATTATCCGAGTGGCCTGCGCTTGTTGGTTAGCTCCAAGTGACCGAACACGCTCGTCAGTCAGCTCGTGCGTGTTGGTCAGCTAAAGTGACCGAACACGCTCATCAGTCAGCTCACGCGCATCGGTCAGCTCTAAGTGACCGAACGCACTCGTCAGTCAGCTTGCGCTCATCAACCAGCGAAGCGTACAAGTCAATAAGACAACCAAATACGTAAATCGGCAGAAAGTACAAGTCCGAGAAATTCAGGAAACACCAAAAAGCTCAAAAGAGCTCGAAACTCGCGTGGCGCATGGGTCACCCAAAGGTGACCCGTGGCCACACGGGTTACAGACTGGTGACCCGTGGCCGCGCGAGTCACCGGCGTGTGTAGGCTGTCTAAAAATCATAATAGATAGTTGATCCCTATCAAGCTTTAATGATGAAAGTTACAATCAGATGACTTTTATGCTAACAAATGCAAGTGGCAAATGGAGGACTCTTCACATAGATCGAGAAGAGTTACAATTCAACGACACTTCCGACGACTGATGAAAACTCTATTCAGTGGTCTTCGCAATCAACAGTGAGAGTTACAATCTGACGACTGTCACACCCCATAACAGCTAACGCAAGGATTATTGAACAATGGTTCTTGCAGTGCTCTTCAGAAGAGGTTATAAGTCAATTAGCCCCTTCTAAAATGCGGAACTCATCTTCGCGTTACAATTTTTGAAATGCAGGTGACCCCCGCGTTTCCAAGCTGCAATAAGCAAAACGCGAGCGGCCCTCACGTTTTTGACGTTCAGTCAGCACCTAACTCCGCGTCTCAATTCTAAGATGCGAAGTTAGGGTACTGAACGCAAAATTAGGCGTTTGACTTGTTCAAATATGAGTTGAACAGTTGCAGAACCGATTCCCCTATGATTTGAGGGATTTTCGCCCACTTAGGAGCGGATTTATGGGTTGGTTACACCCCTTATCCTCCTATAAATAACTGCCTTACTCAACCGAGTAAGGGGGTTGAAGTTTTTTTTTTGGGAGATCAAAACCGCACGGAGTTCAGATCGAGGGAGAGGTTCGACTTGATTTCGAAGATCAAATCATCTCTGAAATCAGTAGAGTTCTTGGCAGTTAAAAGATCAGATTCTTCAGCAACAAATAGATATATTTGGCTTATCAACCGATTATCTGGTTCTAACAACTCTTTTCACAGAGTTCTAGCTCGTTCTGAGTTCTAAAAACTCGTTAAGAGTTATTCCTCAAATTTACCACAAAAGTTCATTGTTCCCACGAGATACAAGACGGTCGGATCGTCAACGGAGAGCAAATTCAACGCTAACATTCGAAGGAGACATTCCATCGCTACCGAGAAGAATCCAGATTTAAACAAAGGGGAGAATTAAATTCAATCTCCTCTCTTTTGTAATCGAATTGTAATTAAGATTGAAGGAATACAAGTCAATTTTCTTTCAATACTTTTATTACAAATTTTTCAAATAAAAAAGATGGCGACTCAACTGGGAACTATCTTTTCTGACGAAGATGTGGTGGCGTAATCCGACGTCCACCTCAAGGGAACTACTGTTGAAACTCTCATCGTGGAATTTGATCAAGCCAAATACGAAGAAGCCCTCTCCTCTGGATCACTTAGCCCCAAGGCTAGGCGTGACTCCCGCAAGATCTCCAAAGAGATCAAAACTGTTGCTGAAATACCAAAGAAAGCCCTCTCCTTTGGTCAAGATTTGTCGAACAGCCCCTCTACCTCAGGGGTGGGCTTAGCCTCTGTCGAACTCATCCAGCGAGTTGAACGTCCCACATCCGCGTCAACAAGACGTGCTTCGGGCCATAAACGGCCTATAGAGGTGTATCGTAAATCACATGATGGAGTTTTGCTTCGATGCCTCTCTCAGAAGGAAGCAAAAGAGGCCCTCAAGGAAGCTCACGACGGAATGTGCGGAGCTCATCAGCATGGAGCTAAGTTAGGAGATCGCCTCCGATGAATTGGTTATTATTGGCCAAGGATGTTCTCAGACGCAGTTGACTACGCTAAACGTTGTCACGCATGTCAGATTCATGGGGACTTTATCCACCAAGCGCCAGGTAACTTACATCCCACACCCACATCTTGGCCATTCGAGATGTAGGGTATGGATGTCGTGGGACCAATCTCGCCCCGACTTCTAAAGGACACCGGTTCATTCTGGCTGTAACCGATTATTTTTCTAAATGGGCGGAGGCAATCCCATTGAAAGAAGTCAAGATGTCAAATGTAATTAAGTTCATCAAACATCACATCATCTATCGTTTTGGAGTCCCGAGACGGATAGTTCACGACAACGGGACACAATTCGTCAGTTTTGGGTTTTAGAGATTTTGTGATAAATTCAGGATCCAAAGAGTTGCCTCTACGGCGTATTATCCACCGACAAATAGCCTCGAAGAAGCCTTTAACAAGACCATCATGAAAATTCTCAAGAAGTTCGTCTCTAAGAGCCGACGTGATTGGGACGAAAGACTCGGCGAATGTTTGTGGGCTCATCGTACAACGGTAAGGACCCCTACAAGAGCTACGCCATTCTCTTTAGTATATGGCTGCGAAGCTGTACTACCACTAGAGATTCAAATCCCTTCCCTGAGAGTCACGATTACAACTAGACTGACAGAGGAAGAGAAACACTAACGACGTCTCCGAGAACTTGAAGCATTAGACGACAAACGACTTCAAGCTCAGCAACAGATCGAGTTGTATCAAGCCCGGATTTCCAAAGCCTACAACAAAAGGTTAAAGAACGGATTTTTAAGAAAGACGATTTAGTTTTGGCCAATAGACGACCCATGGTAATGACACACAAAACCAAAGGGAAGTTCAATCCTAAATGGGAAGGGCCCTTCGTAGTAGAATCGGTTTATTCGAACGGAGCTTATCGCCTCATCAATCAAAAAGGAGACATGCTCATGATGCCAATTAACGGGAAGTTTCTTAAAAGATACTT